ATCTTTTTGAGGGACAGCAAGTGGCATGGTGGTTAAGGTGATGGGCTCCCATGTGGCTGACCCTGGTTCAAGTCCCAGGCTTGGTGACTCAAAACTAATGCCAGGCACGTGTGTGTGTGGGGTGGGGGGAGGTCAAAATCCTGAAAGGAAAATGGAGAAGGGATTGCAGTGTGGCTAACCCTCTTGGGAGATGATATCTTACTTTTTATCTCTCTGTCTCTCTGGCAAACACATGCACCACATAGCAAAAACCCTTATGGAAAAGAAGAAACAAAAAAAAAAAAAGAAAAAGAAAAAACAGTAAGAAATATGTATTACAAAAAAACTATGCATGGATTTCAATTTTATTGCACTGATATAAACTCATACTTTAATTCCATTTTTAAAAATCGTTTATTTACTTCTTTTGTGAGTGAAAGAGAGAGAGAGAGAAGGAGAGAGAGAGCACCCTCAATAGAATCTTGATGCTGCAGTCCACTCCCAGTTTCTGCCAGCCCTGGATTACAGGCCCGTGCAGGACTGGCATCTCTGGATTTGAACACGGAATCATCCCACTTGAGTCTTCCTCTCAGAGAGTTGTATTTTACTGTTGGGTCACTGTCCAGCCTCCTTAATTGCATTTTTCTATGAACTTTTTGAAATCCCTTTGCATCAAAAAATACTTTTTTAATCATTGTCTTAGCACTTCTGATTGTTTATAGCAGGGAGGAAATTTACTTGAATCTAGTTAGTCATAATGCTGAAATCACAAGTGCCAGAGTGATCACTGAGAAGAGATTGCACCACCTACTCTGTTATTTAAAATAATAAGAGCATCTCATTCCGCTCAGGATAGAATGGACTCTATTGGAGCCTCTCTTAATCGGGTCCTGCCTGTCCTTTTCATTTCACCTTGTGTAACTTCTGCTGGCTTATTTGCTATGCTTAATCACGTGGGCTTCTTCCTTATTTTCTGCCTCCTCCAACTTAAATGTGTGTTCCACAGAAAGCAACTTTTATTTGGTCACTGCTTGATCCTCAGCGTCTAGCACAATGCCTGGCACACAGTGGGCAGTGAATGAGTGTGTGGAATAAATGCAGATAGAAGACATGTTCAAAATCTTCTAGTTCAACTTCTTTTTACAAACAGTAAAATGAACTGAGAACGTAGCTCAGAAAGGTTTAAGGACTTGCCCCAAATAAAAAGTCTTTAGTGAGATATCTGAGACAAGTTCCTGTCTCCCTTGCCCTGTTCTTTCTGGAGACTGTTCCGCTGGCTGTAGAAAACTCGAATCAGTGATCTGGGAGGGTGATGAGAGAGCCATGGGCTTATCCATGACCGTCCTTCCACTTAATATATAATTTTCATGGAATACAAGAACATATTAAACTTTTCTGGGGAGAAAATCTTTAACTTTCCTCTAATTTTGAAGGTGTCAAAGCCTTCCCCCAAATCTTAAAAACTACTGCCTCTCATACTTTTTGCAAACTAAATTCCTTGCCCATTTGCCCTTGTCTTCCTATCAGTTCTTCTAGTTGTACGTTTTGAACAATTACTACAAATTAACTATCCTTTTGGCATATTGCCAAAGGATGTGGTCTTGTGACTTGTTTTAAAATGCTGCTAGCATAAGTGAAGAATTTAGTTCTGGAGTTCTGGAATCACTGGGTACGTGAACTTAGGGATACTGCCGGTTTAATTTATCAAGACTGGCAACATGAGTGCTCACATCTTGCCTATTGTTGTATATACCTTAGCACTTCTTTAGCCATATTGCAGATACCCATTCTTCTAAACTTCAGAAAAAAAAATTCATTCTACTTGCTCTACTCTATTGGACGTGAGATCATTTTTGGGATACCTTTTACTCTGGAGAGCTGAGGCTGAGATGCTAAATAGTCTATAGCCATACAACTCTGAACACACCCAATCTGATCTGGTCTCAGAGAAGCTAAACAGATTGGTCCATACACATGGGTCTGTGGATTGCGAGCCTCCCTAGGTCTTCTCCATGATGTTCTCAGACATACTTTGTTTCTACTAATCATGCTATGTGATTAAATGGCCAGCGGCTGGGGGAGATGGGATGAGGCTGTGTGTTTGTAGTAGACCTTGGTGCCCTATCTTCCCAGGCCATGGGGATTCTTTCTTCCATGAGGACAGTCCTTGGAAGGCACCTGTTCCTCAGCTACTAAGAACTGGAATGGATTGGCTAAAGTTGAGTTCATCATGTACTTTCAGATATTAGGATTTAGGATTTAAAGATAGCTAAATCTTTGATTTGTCTGTAATTTGACCTATACATTTTAAATTGTATGAAAATATAAGTTGACATATATTGATACATGGAAAGACAAAGGAAGTCAACCTGCAAAAGAGAGAAGAATAAAGAATACTTACATAAACCTCAAAATTTTTTTCTTGTCTCCTGGTGACTTTTCATACAGTGAGTCCTTTTTTACATTGATTGATTTCATTATAACCAAAACCTAACTAATATTAAATTGTATTTCCTGTGAATAAAAGGGTTTTACTTTTCTTTTAGTTTGTTTTATTTCTTTTTCTTTCTTTCTTTTTTTTTTTGGAGAGGTTTTTGCGATAGGGTGTGTGCGCTCACCAGACAGACAAGAGAGAGACAGAGATAGAAAGCGAGAGATCACCCCCCAGGGGGGATGGCCACACTGCAGTCCCTTCTCCTCCATTCTCCTCTTGGGATCTTGGGCACACACGCACATGCATCTGGCGTGAGTTTTAAGCCACCGGGTCCGGGATGCGAACCACGGTCGACTACATGGGAGTCTAGCGACATAGCCATTACGCTAACTGCTGGTCCCTTATTTCTTTTGTTTGTATATTCAGGGGTATAATTCTACAAGTGTTGAACTCAAAGTAAAGTAAAACAAAATTTATTTGATCATCACTTATAAACTAAGTGCAATGATTTGGACATACTTATAGTAAAACAATTATTTAGCTAAAATTGAAATTTAATTGAGTGTGCTGTACTTTGATCTGGTGACACTATTTGTGACATAATTTATTCCTTTGTAAAACAAGGGCGACAATACAAAATCAGCAAAGGTGTTGTTAAGAATGTCAAGGATATTGTAAACACTGTATAAAATAATCTGTGGATTGGCCATGTAGCCTAGTGGTTAAGGGAGCTGGATCCCACATGGCCAACAACAGTTCAAAACTTTTCCTCAGTATCTTGAAAAGCATGCCGAGCAGTGTACGTATGTGACCCGAATTTAAATGGGATGGTAAGATGGAGGAAGGGATTGAAGTATGACCACCATTGAGGTCCTTTTCTCTCTATTTCTGTTTCTCCCTGATGAGCTCACATATTCTCTGGAAATTTAAAGAAAAACTTTTGAGAAATATGGTTTCTTATTATTTTCCTCTTCTTATCTACTTATATTGGGTCTATAATATAAGAAGGTTTTGCTTACAAAGCTCATCATTATAACACCCATAATTGGGAGTGAATACTTCCTAGATGTGCTGAACTTCCTTTTTATAGTTTCTTCTAGGAGAAAGAAGATGGAGAGATAAAGAAAGACAGAGAGACAGCACCCCCAACAGTGTTCCCATATGAAAACCCTTCCCCAGCCCAAGCAGCAACAGATCATGGACACACACATGCCTGACATCCCCAGGGATGTGAAGCTGGAACCCTCTCCTGTGAGTCAACCTTACAGAGCAATGTGTCCTATTGTAGAACCCCATCTAGTACCCAACGTGTGCTAAACTTTTTTTTTCCTTATCATGGATACACTGTACATTTGTTTAGTCAAAGATACCACCATACACAATTATCCATAGATACTTTTCCATTTTTGTGTCCCTAAAATGTTTTGCTTCTTTTTCCCTTTGACTCCTTCCCTCTCATCCTCCCCCTTCCTGCTTTTCACCCTCCTCCCTCACTGTCTCCAGGATCACCCTGGATTTCCTTGCTTTTATACCTTCTGCTCTTTCAGTCCTTGCCATAGAGTGCAGACATTTAGTATATATTGAGTGGGGACATACGATGCCTCTTTTTCATAGTCTGGCTTGTTTCACTCGGTAGTAAATCTTCCATATTTGCCCACTTTCTGTCAAATGTCAAGTTCTCATTGTTTTATTTTTTTTTTTTATGGTTGAGTAGTATTCTGTTGTGTGTATATGCCACACTTTTCCAATCCTTCTGTTTGTGGACATTTGGGTAGGTTCCATGTCTTAGGACTTATGAATAATGCCACCATAAACGTGGATGTTACTATGTTAACAGAGTAATGCCAGGTGAAATTATTTAATTGAAGATCAAGTTTATAGCAGAGTGGACTGGTTTATTCGGATGTTATCTCTATTCCTGAATTAGAAAATTTAGTAGGTTAAATTTACAAACTAGTCTACCTAACTTCAACCAAAACTCCAATCCAGTCTATTCTAATGCCTATTTATTGATTTTTAGAAAGTGTATTTATTGAGAGAGAGGGAGAGGGAGATACCCTTGGTAAGGTCTTCCCACATAATGATCCTCCCCTGGGCTCTTGGTCAACCAGGATTGTAGACATGCAGATATGCGTAGTGTGCTCAGGTAGACGTGGGATCTAAACTGGGCCATTCATTGTGGCTCCAGCATCACACTGAGGTGCCCTATTGCCTGAGCTACTGTGGTCAGGTTATCTAGTATTTATTCTTATTAAACATCTACTACGTGCTAGATGTAAATCTAGATCTTAAACAAGTAGCATCTCTCCATCTGGTCTTTCTCAGCTCCTACAGGAAGAGATGAAATAAGAAAAAGCATGAAGAAAGGAAAAAGAGGGAAGTATGTAAGTGTTTACCCTTTGTCTGTTCTAGGATAAAGAATGAAGGACTTGTGCTTTGGGGGGTGGAAAGGGGGAACTGTGCTTCTTGCCTCCTTCATCCGAGTCCTTTTCATTTTTATCTACAGGGTTTGTATTCCGTGACCTGAGAATCTGGCAGGTGCTGGAGGACTTCTTCAATGAAGCTCAAATTAACATGTTTTCTGCTCGAGGGAAACGGAGCAATGAACTTGCCTGACAGAGGCATTTGTCATACATTTCTTTATTTATCACACCAGGTCCAGTAGGATTAAATTAGACTTTTGTTTTTTCCAAAACAGCATGGGCTTGCTGATCAACTACTAAGCAGTAGGCACAAAACTGGCATGGCTCCATTTTTATTTCCTTGTTCAAAGTCAGTGTCTATGGAGATGCCTTGTAACTAGAGATAGTATCAGCAGGTCTAGTTTGGCTTTGAAAGTGCAGAAGCATCCTCCATGAATTCCGCTATGTTTCCTTTCCATTTTCTTTTACACCATATTGACCAGATTGTGTCTGGAAGGACAGCTTACTCGAATTTGGTGATTGTTTAAATACAGACGGGTTACTTATTAAATCCAGAGGCTGAGTGGATGAATTCAATGTTTCTGCTATGTTCACAACTGTGTCCATTGTGGGAGAAGAATTTACATTCGGCTGTGTCTCTAGTATCTCTGGTGTCCCTGGTGTCTCCGGTGTCAATGGCATTATATTTATAATTTCATTTGGATACTGGCATGAAGACGGTATGCTTTTTTGGGAAAGAATAGTGCTGATAGGTATGGCACAAAACACAAGATCCGAGGACAGTAGCTTAAACTCATTGGCTGGCCGGGTAATCACAAACCTGTAAGAAAATGCCAAAGTGAATTTGGAGCCTCTACAGCTGAGAGAGTGTAACCACAGGCAGTGGCCCAAATGAAGACATTGTTTTGCTGGCTAACAGGAAATGTTCTTGTTTTGCTCTGCTCCATTGGTTTCTAATAGGTAGACAAGTAGCATCATTCACACCAAGCCAGAGTGGGAGCTAAGGGGTCGAATTCCATCTTCACCTCTGAAACCAGCTGTCTCTGACCTTAGGTGTGGCACCCCCCTCCTCTGCCTTGCTGTTTTCTGAGTCTTCAATGGGACGGGGCAAGACTGTGGTATGGGCAGGTTGGTCTCTAACAGCCTTTCTGACTCCTGGTCCATCTGTTTTTCAAAACACTCCACTACTGGCCTCTGAGCCCACAGTGCTGACATGAGCCAAGTTTGTCAGAGTGGAAGGTCGCATATATGTACCTATTTCCACCCTGGTTTAGTTCTACTCCCAACCTAACACAAGTACCTCCAGCTTTCACATAGAACGTATCCTGGAAAAGCATTTTGTAAAAGACAAAGTTCTATTCGCAATCCTGACTGGTAAGTAACCAGCAAATGCCAACGAATCTGAAAAAACACCCAATCCTGGACTTGCATGGAGAGACTGAGGGGAACAGGGAACTAGCCTTCGCCTACAAGCAGGCATGTAGCAATTCCCAGTGAATGGGACTCACATAATAAATAGCAGTACTTAAATGAGTGAACACACTCGTGCCCACGTCGGAACACTGATAAAGATCGCTGAGTAGGGGAGGCCACAGGCATGGGTCTGACTGTTATAACCGCCTGAAACAGGCCCACCTTAAAAATCTTAAACTTCAAGAAATCACTCTCTGATCACATCCTATCAGTTTTTTCTTGTTCACTCCCTTACTCTGAGAACATCTTTTTCTTTTTTAAAGAGGTTTTTGCCTTAGGGTATGTGTACTACCTGGAGAAAAAGAGAGAAACAGAGACAGAGAGAAGGAAAGTGGGAAATTATCCCCCAGGGGCATGGCCATACCACAATCCCTCCTACTCCTGGAATCTTGGGCATGTACGCACATTCACCTGGTGTGATTTTCAAACCACTAGGTCCAGGGATTGAACCATGGTTTGCCATGTGGGAGTCCAGCAACTTAACCAGTATGCCATCTGCTGGCCGTGAAGATCTGCTCTTGAACATCATTGTCCTCAGAATTTCTAGTCCATTGTCCTTTCACTTTACAGTCTATGTTCCTCCTCTCAGCTTCCTGTAATATGAGATTTCTCTCATATTCCCTCTCACCGATGGCTAAGCACTGTAAGCCTTAGTGCCAAATATAAATTCCCGTAAGCACACCCCTCACCTAAAGAGAGTGCAATCTGCCCCTGTATCCTTTTCCTCCTTTTCTCCCCTGAGCAGAGAAATTGCTTCTTTTATTCAGGACCCCTCCACCTTGAATAAATTTGGCTTTCCTCTCCTTTCTCCTGGGATAGGTCCCATCAATCTATTTCCACTCTAGCACTCTCCCTTCTCTTTCTCTACTGAATCCTGCTCACTCCCATGGAGGGGTCCTGGGGTTAAATCTCTGTGACTGTGCCATCTGTAGGCTGCACCCTCTCTTTGCCTCCTGCCCTCCATGCAGGCTCGACCTTCTCTGTTGTTGTCAGAAGGATCTTCTTTAAACTGAAGCCTCAACATATCACTCCTGTAATTTATAGGTTGAACCATGGGGGCTAAGAAAGAAACACTGTAAGTATTTACCCAGAGAGTCTAGCAGCAAACACATAACTCTTTCTAACATGAACAGTAACTGTTAGCTTTAACGTTATGCAGACATGGAGGAAGGCTGAGTTACTAAAGAACCCTGGTTTGATATCTCCATCAAGATTTCCGTTTCACCTGGGTCAGATGCTCCATTCTTACATCACCATTATTAGTGAACACGAATCATGAGGGCTCTTGCTGTTTATATCCATTCTTCCTTATCTCTACAGCATTACCTACTCCCCTACACCCTTCCTTGCCCCTGGGGACCTTCAACTCTGGGTTTCCCTTTCCCATTGATTGAAGCAGCTTTGGTTCTTATGTAAGGATGGGTGGCTAGCACTTTCCAAGTTAGCATACTTCCCTTCTGTGTTCTGGGTTGAACTCCTCTTCAGCTATCATGCGGTATAAACCAACACACAGAACTCCAAAACTATCTAAGGAGCCACAGAACAGTTGTCCGAAAGTGTCTTTTGGCTGAGGAGAGAAGAGAAAAACATGTATTAACTGAGCACTTTAATTAAGGAATAAAAAGCACTTCCTGGGGAGTCATCGACTGTCCTTAAAGTAGAAGTTTGGAAGACTGCTTGGCCATTTCCTGAGGCCTTTATGGTGGTAGTGCCGTGAGGCTAGGTAATTAAGTTTATGATGCGCTCTGAGACTCTAATCCTTGGGATTATTTTCCTCATTCTGGTTCTGGTGAATGTGGTGTGGCATGTTGTATTCTTTTATTGCTGTTGTGATGCCCAGTGAGAACAAACAAAGAGCAGTGGGTAGAAACATCCAGTTATTGAGGTATGTGATGAGTTGGGGTGGCAAGTGACCTTTTGAGAGTCTTCTCCACCAGACTCCTGTCCCTGGCTTGCCTCTCGACCCAACTGTCGGGCTGTAGCCAACAAGGTCACTGTGGCAGGGAACAGGGTCAACCACATCAGCAGCAAATGGGTTAGCAAAACTGAAAGGAAAGCGTCTGTTCAGTCCTGTGGTTCCTCAGAGGAAAGAAAAAGGAGAGGGTAAGACATGTATGGAGAGGAGGAGAGTGAGGAGCCACCTATTGCTGCCTCTGATACCAACAGGAAGTTGCTCAGTTGCTCATAGTAGTTTCCTGGGCTTATGAACACTCCTAAGTCAATTGTAGACCACAGAAATGTGAAGGGATGGACCATGCTGAGGCTGCTTTTGGAATGATGCTTGCATCTGGGTGGCAAATGCATGGGACGCAGGGCTTGCTTTTTTGTCCACTATATGCTGAGACTCAGAGGGCACAGTGGCCTGGAAGGGCATGCTCCTTCTGAAGGGGGTTCTGCTGATGTTCTCTGAACTGGCAAGAAAAGCTTCTTTTCAAAGGCCTGTCCCTAAAAAGGGCACTGGACCGCTGAGTGCATGTCAATCAAGACTAAAAGACACTGGTAAGTCAGTTACTTACTTTCAGGCTAGACTCTACTCTGATTTTCACAGGCCATGGGGCCCCATTGGAGTTTGTCAGAATTGTTATTTTCTCCTTTGCTACAATATACTTTACCAGTTCTCTGGGCTATGAAAATTTAAACATTTTCTTCCAGCTAGCCCAGTGAAAGTCTAAGGCCCAGTACAGAATTCTTCTGCTTGGTTTCAACTAACATGATGAAAGTTCTTTAGCATTTTAAGTATATAGAGAGTGAGGAGACACAGGGCCAGATAGCCACAGGTGGCCCTGCAGTGACACTGACCATGTGGCCTCAGCCAAGTCCTTGCTTCTCTGGGCCTCAGTTTCTTGATCTACAAAATGGAATTAATAATGATGCCTTCCATATAAACCCTTGGACAGATTAAGGGGGGGGCACTAAAATAGGTGGACACAGGGAAAATACCTAGTAATACCTTAGCTATAATAATTACTATTAGTAGTAGTATTTTTGCCATAGGGTCCATGTGCTTGCTGGAGAGAAAGAGAGATGGAGAGAGGAAAAGTGAGAAATCACTTCTAGGGAGGATGGCCACACCACAATCCCTTTTCCTTTATTTTCCTCCTGGGATTTTGGGCATGCATGCTCACATGCCCAGTAAGATCTTTAAGTGACCAGGTTGGGGATTAGAACCCTGGTTTGCCATATGGAAATTTAGTGCCTTAACTATTATGCCACTTGCTGGTCCCACTATTACAGCTATTACTGATGCTGTTGTCAAAGTACAAAGTCACCAGGCCTGTCTGATGCTTCTTGTAGATTTGGGTTATTCATCTGAAAGATGAGGATAATAGCAATTGCTTTAGTTATTTCCCAGGATTGTTGTAAAAATAAATACAACATGAATCATAAAATACTCTGTGGACATAAAGTTAGGTTAATTTTTGCTAATACCGTTGTTATTCCTGTGCTACAGGCCATCTAGGGACCCAAAGCACCTGGACCATTTTCAGAAACTCTGTTAGGTAATAGGAGACTCACTTTGACATCTGACAACATGGGTTTGTGTAAGGCCAGCAGTCCCATCTTACACCGTGTCCTTCCACACAAGGATGTAGTGCAGCTTTCAGGCATTTCGACCTTTTCCTTATCCAGATGGTGCTCCAGCTGGGAACTTACCCCTCCAGTCACCAGCATCTGAAGTAACTCCAGGACATGGTAGTTATAAAAGGCCTAGAAAGCAAGAGCAAAGGGCAGGCCAAGTCAGCGTGGTGGGCGTCGATGCTGGGAATGGAGCTGATGGAGTAGCGTTGTGTTTCTCCTCATTATCGAAGCCACCTGAAAGCCGGTGGTTTGGGTGGGATGCTAGGTCAGGCAGAACACAGAGAAAACAACGTGGACCTGGCTCCTGCCTGCCCCAGAACTTACTGCATAAAATGTGGGTAATGACAATGACACAAGGATTTCTCTTTCCAAGTGGCTGGATGAGGATGTCAGGCCACAGAAATCTTAGTAATCACCACTATATATTGTGTATATGTGTGCATCCTATAGACTTTCCTGGGGAACTACTGATATTGTTTTCTACTTAGAATTCCTTTCGACTGTGACCTACTTGGGTGCAGATATTGACTCAGGTCTTATAAATGGTTGGATTTCTTGTAGTTCTTACCCTGCACTACAGAAACCATGGGTGCTGAATATGTAAACAGATGCATTGTAAGACCTTTAGCATTCGATTGTGACCAGAGGAGGACATGAAGCAAACTTGAGTTCAAATAATCCTGGCTATTTTTTCTAATGCTCTTTTTCCTGTATTTCTACCATAATTAGTGTAGACAAAACGTGAACATACATGAGTGTCATTGTAGTGCATTACCCACTGGGTTTTCTAAAGTCCACAGAACTTTACATTTTTTATTTATACCTTTTGTTTTATCTCAATTAGATTTCTACTCCATCAGAACTAGGATATCTGTTTTGTTACCTGCAAAAAAGGAATGATTTTTTGTGATAAATAATAGGAACGACTTCCAATGTTATTGTTCTAGAAATTGTACCATACACTTTCTTTATTCCTGAATTCAGGGGCTCACCCTCTGAAGCCTGCATTATCATAGGAATCACTTTTCTAGTGTTCCTGTCTTGGTGTTCTCATCTGCAATCCCCTGCTCATGATATTCCCAGAGTGCTTCTCCAGAAATACAAACTGGATTATGCCATGCATCTCTTCAACCCTTTAATTGCTGCACTCCTGCTGACAAACTGTCCTGGACTTTCTGCTGTGGCACTCAGAACCCATTCCTCTGACGAGCCTCCCTCTCCAGGCCCCTATCCTTCATAGACTGGCCCCTGGTCCTTCGTGGATGGCCCCTGGTCCTTCATGGATGGTCCCTGGTCCTTCATGGATGGCCCCTGGTCCTTCATGGATGGCCCCTGGTCCTTCACGACTGGCCCCTGGTCCTTCATGGATGGCCCCTGGTCCTTCATGGATGGACCCGGTTCTTCAAGGGTGGCTCTTGCAGTGCACATGCTCTATCTGCAGGTATTTGGGCTGTACTTTTCCTACTTCCTGTCTTTGCTCTGGAGCATGGGATTGATTTAACTCTCACCAGCTTGGTGATGTCCTGGGCCTCTGCATCAGAGTGAAGTTTGCCTTTTGTAGTGATCTCATGGCCACTGGCTTTTACATTATTTCATTCTTCTGTATTTTATAGTGAGCTGTTTGTACAAAACACACCTGAGTTTGGATCTTAGACTATCACTCCAACACTCCAAGCTGAATGCCTTGGGGAAATTCATGTTTTTTGTTTTGTTTTGTTTTGTTTATTCTCTCAGCAACAGTTCTATCATCTTTGAAGTTGACCTGATAGTACCCACTTTCTCTCTGGTACCATTGGAGGGTTAAACAAGTTACACCGCACACATTATAAAGTCTATTCCATTTATCATTGGTTCTCATGTGTCTGGATGATCTGGAGTGATACTAATGAATGCAGGTTGGGGGATCCTAAATCTTTGGGTCAGAATTTATGGACTGGAGTGGAAACCAGAATTTAAGCACACCGTGGTGGTTCTGACACTCGCGATCCTCAGATCAGACAGGCGATCCTTCCCGAAGACGGCAAACTCTTTCAGAGGACAAACTTTGTCCACATAATGTTCACGTTCTCAGTATGCGTCAAACAGGCTGATATTCAAAAACTGGAAGAATATTGACTGCAATGGGAAGGTAATCTTTAACAAATAAGCAGATTGCTTAGTAAAATGTAGAAGTAATTGGGCTAAGTTGGCTTAAGGAATAATATAATGTATGTGAATTTAAAGAAAATAAAAATAACTTTTACAATATTTTCGGATTTGAAGAGAACTTTGCCCTAGTCTCCCTTCTGAAAGCCTCTGAGCAGTGGCTTCTCCCATCTGCCTTCTCTTCCCACTCCACTAGCACCCCTCAGCCCCCTGACATTCAGGAGGCGAGGGGAGGTGTAAATCCAGGTTGAGCCACAATCCGTTTAAGAACACGTGGCCATAGTGTAGAGCAATCAAACATAATACCGTTAGAATAATTCTCCACTGATTAAAGAAAAGGTGTAAATTCTAGGGTTATCCTGGCGTGGATGGCTCTGAGGGAAACATGCGCTTTACATATTTAACAGAGAGAGGCTTAGCTTCTGAACATATCACTTCTCCAGTTTTGACATCAAAAGGATTGCAGTTCTATATTGGGGACAATAATGGGATTTACACATCACCCTTCTTCTATGAGCTCATCTGCTATTCTTAGAATTTGGGGTTCACTAGTATCGGCCTTTTTCAACCCCTCTCTCTCTCTTTTCTTTTCTCTCTTCCCTCCCTACCCCTTTCCTTCCTCTTTCTTTCTATCCTTTCTCAAGAAACAGCTGCAATTTGAATTAAAACATAAAAAACAACAAGACCTTGGCATTTGATGGAAAGTGGTTGAATATGGAGGATCTGTTGCTGAGTAAAGCAAGCCAGGCTATGAAAGAAAGATATTGTATGTGTCCACTTAATATGTACCGACTATCCACACTTGACGGTACAGATTGAAACGTTGGAGGGCATAAAAACAGTGAAAATAATTATGGATGCTGAAGACAGTGTGGAATGGGCTGGGAGAAGGGAAGAGTACAGAGAAGGATAGCAAGAGGACAAATAGAGAGGCATGACATTAGTGGGACACAGAAATGGTTTACTGCCCGTTGGTGATAACATGTATAGTATTCTAGTATTCTCAACTGGACTGGTCTGAGAAGTATTTCATGTTGGGTAAATTCTTTTTACAAGCCAAATGATATGTAGTGATTAAATGTTTAACAAATAATGATAATAATAATCTGAAAAAAATGATGAAAATCTATTTGATGATCATGATGTGGTAATGTCTTTGTCTTGACTGATTTGCATGATATTCCCTGCTGGAAAAAGAAATGGAATACACTGTAAAGATATATGTGATTCAATGTAATATAAACAAGATTATGATAATAAAAAAAGAAGTGGGCTTAAAATTCTTGGACTTCTCAACTTGAACAATGTTTCTAATATCACTGTATTTATTATAATTTAGATATTTTTATTTATGTGTTTTTTATTATTATTCATACATTAAATCGCTATACATCATTTAGATTGTGAAGAGATTTTACTCAGCATGATAGACACCTCAGTCCAACCAAGTTGAGACCACCATCCATGTCCTCATCAACAGATAATAAACCTTATGTGTGTCCCACAAATGTCTTACAATGTTGGAAAATGCTGCAGCCCAAAGTGGTTTAACTTTTAGCTACAACGAAGGTCGAGATCTCTCTCAGATGATATAATATTACCTAATGCTATGGGCACTAGCACCCTAGCTACTTGCTGCTTTTTATCTGAGAATCTCAAAAGGCCTTAAGATCCTTGGGAAGTAGCTTTATTCAGAGTGTGGTGATACAGTGAGAATGCTGCAACCAACAAGGTGGGAATCTTGAGAATGCCATGTAACCTCACTTTCTTCACAAGTAAAGGTAAGGGCTTTCTAAGGCCCTGCCTCTTATTATGCAGAAATACAGAAGACTTGCCAAGGGACCTGATGGCTTCACCACATTTTTACAGCATGAACTGATAGAGGATTAAAAGCAAGTCTGAATTTATAGCTTATGGGCATATTTCTCCAGATGGCAGTTCACTGTAGTATCTGAGGGACTATTTGGGGCCATTCTAATGTCAACTGTATTGGGAGATTTGGATCGAAAACCCAGTGTTTTACGCTGAAAAGTGATCACAGACCTATCAGGGGTACCACACGAGAATGTACTACATTACCTCAGTATTTCTGCGGATGCGTCTGGACAGTGAGGAGTTCACAGCGTTTTTGCTGGTTTTGTGGCCTGCGTGGGGCTTGCACATCCTGTCAGTGGAGTTCACCAGGGTTAACTGAGATGGGAGAATTGCTACAATGAAGGCTGAGGTCTCTCGAGGTCTTCCAAGTGCACATGGGAAGGAAGAGGGCCCTTGAACATCATGTCGGAAATATGGTCGCCAGGATCACAGTGAAGACCAGCACTGTCATCTCAGTGCAGAAACGATGGAAGTGCTGGCCCCTTTTCCCAGGGGAAGAGGGGGTCTGCTCTGTTGTTAGCCTTGTCATCAGCCTCTCTGTTGAGCAGTGCGGGCACCAGGCAACCAGACAGTTTGCTTCTGATTATAACCTCTGACCGTGCAGCAGTGAGACAGATTCCTTCTAACCTGGGCAGCAGGTTGGAAGAGCCAAACCCAGATGATGGTTTGGGGGAGAGTTATAATGAGAGAGAATGTTCGGGCACGGGGCTGGCACAACTGCCTGCTGCCTGCTGCTTCCCACACAAGACTCCTGACTGCAAAGTGGAAACCTGTCTGGGAAGCAAGGAAGATGGGATACTCTTTATTTTACTCCTTTCTGTGGGTTGTGTATTCTAGGAAGTAGTTTTCAAAGTCTTAACAACAGAAAGTTCTCTTCAGATCAACGCTGGTACAGGTTTCTTGGGCGACACCGGGGGAAGTAGCGTTGCTCTTGTCAAGAGGAGAGGTGTGGGTGCCGTGTATTATCCTCCTCCTGTCTTCCTGGCTCTTCAGCAACTCCCAACTTTCTGAGAGGGATTCCTCTGAGAAAATCTTGAACATTACTGCATTAGATGCCAATAATTACTGAAGATTTCAGGAAAGGCAGCTGGTTGTGGCAGTTAGGTTTGACTCTGGAATCACACAAATCTGGGTCGAATTATCTGAAGGTGGTGCGATATTTGGCAGGTTATTTACTCCCTTGAACCCCAAGGTCTTCACCTGTAAAATGAGGCTGATCACAGTATGTTCCTACTGGGGTTGGCAGGAGAATTAAACTAAGTAATGCAAGTGCTGTGCTTTTTAAAGTCCTTGGCACAAGGTAAGTGCTTGAGAGATGTTACTCTTTCTAGGACAGATATTTCTATTGCTATTGCTATATCGTGTTGAGATCTGGAGATCTGTGTTGGTCAAGACTTGTAGGTCTTACCTGGGGGAGGTCAAGCGTGGTCATCAGTGGTGTTCTGTTGTGGGGGTGTGATGACGGTGACTATAGCCATAGGGTCCATACCTACCATCTTGTCTTTATGGGAAGATTGAAGTCTTTGCCTTCCACTCATCTATCAGTGAAGAGATGCTCTGATATATAAGGAGAATAAAGCGAAGTATTCGAGGACATATCCTGGGGCTAGAGTGCCTCCAAAGGTTTCTAGTGGAAGGCAATAAACGTTTTCTTTCTGTCTGAGGCTATTTCATATAAGCAGGTGGTAAGACCAGGCCAGCCAAGAACAAATGGTCCCCAGAAGAGAGGAAATGATGGCATCATCAGAGGCTCAAGCCTGACCCTTGGCTTCTTTTTGTCTGTGTGGATGGTATGACAGGAAGTCATCCCACTCTGAGAGGGGCAAACGGGAACCAGTTATACCCAGGGGAAGAGGGAACAAGTAAGGAGATCATTCACTGATTATTTTCAGTGGTCAAGTTCAGCTCATCATTTAATAGCATTGAAGTGTGTTCCTTTTGTTGTGCCATTTGTCATTAAAGATTCAATAGCTGGACCAAAGGCTGCTAGGGAGAGAGTCAGAGCTCTAAGATCCAAGCCAGCCCCTGAATAAAAAGATGCCTCCACTCAGAGGCCTCATTGCCATCCCCACCCCTGTGGATCTCATCAGGTGCCAGTCATGAACTGAGCACCTGTTTGCCAGGAATTCTGAAGGACAAGATAATGCTTCTTTGGGGGTCATGACCTCATGTGACAACTCCTACATTGATTCACATGACGTGCCCTATGGGCCCTCGGAAAATACTTCCCAGAGTTTATACATCTCCGTTTTTCATCAAGGACCATCATCCCCTGCCACTGTGTGAATCCCACGGGCACCATATTAGAAGACAGCCTGGAGGGAAGAAGCAGCCTCCAGTTCTTATCACCATGTTAGTGTTTCCTGTGCTGGCCTCTGGGGTGTGTTGTCTTGTGTTTGTTGTTGTTCATTCATTTCTTTGTTAAATATTTCCACTTGTGATTTATTATTCAGTTTTAATTATTGTACATCTCTCTAGCACACAAATATGATTTTTCAAGTTGAAAATAATGTTAATCTATTCTTATTTCTACACTTCCAGCCCTTTTTTGTCCACCCTGCCCACTACGGTGTGAATGTGTCCCTCAGAAAGCACGTGCTGGAAACACTGCCCAGTGCAACAGTGTGGAAAGTTGGGCCTTTGGGGGATGATTTGGGCATAAGGGGGTAGACTGGATTAATTCCATATTGCAGCAGTGGGTTTATTGTGGCAAGAGTGGGCTCTGAATGAAAGGATTGAAGTGACCTGGCAGGACAGCAGCCATTTTGAGGTTAAGTAAGGCCTCTGAGGAGAACAATCTGATGAAATGCCGACTCATAGGGATATCTGTTTGAGGAATGGTCAGATAAGAAGAAACCAAGAATGGGTATTTGAAGGATTCAGGATAATTATTGAGGGGAAAGCAATAGACTGATGGGTAGCAGTGAGGAATGATCTACACCTGCTTGTACCTTTCACCTCTGAATACCAAGAACACACAGGGCTTTTTGAGACAGTTGGATGGTACTTGCTGCCTATCTCCCTGTAACCAGTTATGGAAATAAACCCCCTTCTTCTCCAGCCTCTGCTTCTCGTTTCACTGATCATGGGAAGAAGCAGCAGGACTTAGTTGGCTGGTAATGGGAAGACTCTGCCACCCCTGTCTCTGCACACCCCTTCCCTTTTATTGGGGGATGATCCATCGGGCAAGCTCTCACTAGATACCTTGCAGTTGCCTGTGCCATGCCCTTGAACTTCCCACCCTCCAGGACTGTGAACCGAGTCACCCTTTATTGTGTATGGATTACTCAGTTTTAAGAGTTCTGTTATAGCAACAGAAAATGGACTAGGCCACTGCCTTGTTGGCCAACTCTAAATGGAATCTGTGGGTTCCCTTCTGCCTGTGAGGGAAGCAGCGTTTACTGAGTCTCAAGTTTTTTTTTTTGGAGAGGTTTTTGCCATAAGGCGTGTGCGCTTGCCGGACAGAGAGAGAGAGAGCGAGACAGAAAGCGAGAACTCACCCCCCAGGGGGGATGGCCACGCCGCAATCCCTTCTCCTCCATTCTCCTCTCGGGATCTTGGGCACACACACACACGTGCCCGGCGTGAGTTTTAAGCCACCGGGTCCAGGACACGAACCGTGGTCGACTACGTGGGAGTCCAGCAACATAGCCATTACGCTAACTGCTGGTCCCCTGAGTCTCAAGTTTAATTTCAGGTGTTACGTTTTCTGCCATCTAAGAATCCCTGAAGAGAACTGGAACCTTAAACCCACCTAAAACAGATCTCGCAGGCAGGTCCAGCTCATCCAGTGCCACCTCTACCTGGTACTCCCGTGATTAATTCCGGGCCAGTTCACTGGCATACAGTGACAGACACTGACATAACGTTTTCTCTGGCAGGTGCGTTGTCTCCATGTAGTTCTCCTGCATGAGGTGTTCTTGCTCCAGGGGCTTCACACTTTTTAACCTTGCCAATATGAACTCTTTCTTTCCCACTCCAAGTAATTATGACAGAAGATGAAATAATGTGTGTGGACAAGTTTTTGGGAAAGTCAAAGATCTGGGAATTGTGAGGTGTTATCATCTACTCAGCCTGAATTCACCCACTCACCCCTTTGCAAGGGACTGAGTTTTGGGGGACTCATTGTCTTGGCTACACTTACGGTGGCCAGTAGGGAATCCATGAAAGTGCTGGAAAAGACCGCACCTGTGGAGAAGGAAGTGCTGAGGTGCAGATTTGTTCCTGGGAGGCTCTCTTCCAGTCCACCAAGCTGTTCAATAAAGTGAATGTTGGAAGGGTTCTCTGCAAAAGAGAAGAGGCAGAAGGGAGGGCAGGCAGAGAAGCATGAGAGTGAAAGAAACTGCCACATGGGGCCGGCGGTGGGGGGGCACTCCATCAGAGATCTGACACACACTTTGGAGTCTCTGTGGGGATACCCTACTTCACTAAATTTTTAAATTCCTTTTCAAATATCTTCCTCCCTCAAAGACATAAATCCCTCTTGGGTGGCTTCACCAATAAGGGGACATTCTTGTACCAAAGGCTCCGTCTCTCCAGGGAAGTATCCAGATTGTCACCCTGATGTAATTTATCTTTCAGACCAGGGCACTTTGGGAAGTAAAGAAGCATGCTCTCGACTAATTGCCCTGGGACGATAGGCTTACGTAGGGAAATGTGTCACTTGTCATAATCTTTTGTCATAATACCAGGCCATAGATAACTTTTTATTTACTTGGGTTCCTAGAGTTCTCTGGGCCCAGAGTGTCAATCACAGTTGAGTACGCATATGAATCACTGGGGGACCTTAATACCAGGCCTATTCTGATTCATAGGGTCTAGGGTGGGGCTTGAGAGTCTGCATGTCCTGCCAGCTCTGAGATGAGGCTGGTGCTGTGGATTCCTGCACCATATTCTGTGTAGCAAGGGCCTAACAATCACCCTGATTGAAGCCAACACAGGAGTAGCCAGATTTATCCCTTAGCATGTTTACATTGGGCCCAGATTGCCACTCAGACTGTTGCAGACTCTGCTATAGCTGCAGAGAAGCACCCAGAGATTTGGGGGTCTAATGTTCTTATTTGAGAAAGTTTATTATTAGGTATTATTATGGAATTAATAGTTGTTGTGTGAATAATTGGATGTAAGGCTGATTTTGTCGTTAGTTTAAAGGATCTGGAGGTTTGAATATTATTTAAGAATAGTAATTCAGGGTTTTCCACGAGGATTCATTAGGGGTGGTGTCTCTTTATGATTACGGTTATTGACTGATGGTTGTAGCAGGGTGGACTTTATCAGTATCTTTATTGTTATTGACATTACATGTGGGGGTTAAATTACTACCAATACAGCTATGATTCGGGAGATAAGGAAGGATAGGAAGTACAGTTTGCTCTGCCCTTTCTGGTTGGAAATTTTCAGAGAAGCTGCAAGCTGCATGTTAGAGATGGGTTTTGGTAAAGCTATTTCTGCCATGTTATATCTAGGAAGTATTGATGGTAGGTTGTGGCTTATTGTTAGACTTGCGTGGGGAGTGGGAGGTGGGCTGTTGTTGGGTAATAGCCTAGCAGAGTGAAAATTTGTACAATGGTGATGGGTAATTATGTTTTAGGTTAAGGGTAGTGAGATTCCGTTCTAAGCAGTGGAGACTCCTACAATGGTGACAAATAGGGCAGTGAGTTTTAGGTATGTAAGTATTGTTATTTGTGGGAGGGTTATTGGTGTAATGTTATTGGAGATTAGAAATCCTGCAAAAATGCTTCCTACTGTGAGGCGCTTAGGTGAGTTGATGAGTAGTGGATTATTTTCGTTAATAGTGACCACTGATGGATGGCATGGTTGGCTTATGAGAGCACAGACGATAATTCCCGTGCTGTAAATAGCTGTTAGGGATGTGGCTTTATTTCTAGACTCTTGCTTAGAAAATGTGTGTACTGAGAACAGCGTTGGAAGAGAGAGATGGTGTTTCCCACCAGACTGAAGGGAAGGCATGTTTACTACTGGTAATCAGAGATCCTGGTTTCCTCAGCTCTGGTTCCTGTCTTAGAAATCAATCCACTGTCACATGGCCTTCTTCCTACTGTGTGAAGCAGCACAAAAGTGATGGCATCTGGCTACTGCTACTGTCGTGAGCCGTAAATGGAATCCTTTTTGTCTCTGACCCAGGGGTCTTGTGCCTTCTGCCAGTGCCCATAAGGCCGTGACGGTCTAACTTGTTGGTTTGCAGGTAGAGTATAGTCTGATCCTTCATGGTTCTTAACATTACAGTTTCCTATATTATAGATCCAAAAAAAAAAAAATCTACTGGATTTGCACTCAGAATACATTCCTCACTAAGAGAGGATTAGCCTCTAATTCCTTAAATCATTCCTTAGTAAATTCAGGGCAAGTGACATACTGGAGCTATTAGTGAATCTTTTTCTTCCGAGAACAGCAATGTTTTTATAAAAGATGAGTAAGGTGTGACTAACAGCAACCCATATTTCCTATGGACTCCTACCTTCCTGTCCTGCATTGCCAACCCTCGACACACGTATCCCACAAGCCTTTGTCTAAATCCTGCTGTGCCACCCGGCACCACTGGCTCCAGCTTTCCCAGCCATTTTCTGTAAGCCCTTGTACATTCGGCACCAGAGTCGGCAGCCAGGCCTACGGGCCCCATGTCAACTGGACCCTTCTCAGTCAGGTAAGGAACAAGTGACTGAGCAAGCTGCAGGAGCCTGTTAGGCATACTTGACTAGGGCTGCCTGGTGCCCAAAAGTCTTCAGTTGAATAGAGCCTTTAAGCCACTGGAAAGTGACCAGCCGCATATCTGGGCCAGAGAGAGCTGGCTGGTCTCCTTCTAGCCACTCCTACTGACAATCTCCAAATCAATGCGCTCGGTGTGTACACACTTAGAGATGGCTCAAAAGCAGAGAAGAATAAAAACCGTGGCCGACAAACAAGGTGGCAGGCACTGCTCAGGTCCAGGTCTGAGATCATTCAGGGTAAATTCAGAGAACCTGTGTCCCAGGCCAGGGTGACCAGACCATTTCCACCTGCTGCCCTGCCAGTGCCAGCTCACATGGTGAGACCTGCTGGTTCCTCTCAAAGTCCTCCTACTTTATTCTTGAGACTGAGAGATATCCATTCACACACACACACACACACACACACATACACACATATATATTACGTCTGACCAACTTAGATTCTCTAAAGCGTACAGTGCCCATGAAGCATTTTGCTGTAGCAGAGATCATCTTTGGAGATCACCTCTGAATTGACTCAATCTGTACCAAAGGCATCATTCCCTCCACTTTGATGTTTCTTCCCTTTTTTCCTCAACTACTGTCAGTAGAAATTCCCAGTATGTACCCTAGTGCCCCCCACAGCCCCTCCCTGCATTTCCCTATGCTGCCTCCTGCTCCTCATATCTAGGGATGTTTCATAAATGCTCATTTTCCATAAGGTGTGAGTGACATGAAACAGCTCATTCTGCTATTTCTCCAAGTGGTTTGGGTTTTTGCATTTTGAAGAGCATCACTCAGAGTTGGGATTCAGATGATGCAAGGGAGACACCGGGACATAACACTTAAGGCCCCCAACAGTGAGCACCTCCTCAGGTTTGACCCTCTATGCCCTGCACCTTAGTCTGGCCCAGCCTTGGTATCACTACAGGAATTAGAGGAGTCTGGCCTGAAGTCCGTGATGCGGTAGGTAAGTTGGCATGGCACGCTTCTGCTAGCAGCATTCAAATCCACGTCCCTGTCTCTGACGAGATGGAGCCATGGCTAACCTGCCTGTCTCTCTCAGCAACTGGAAGACTGTGGAGGGCAGATGCTCTCCCCTGCTCTGACCCCCAGTGCTGCAGGCCCTGCTAGATGGACAATGCCAGTGTGGCCTGCAGTCAAGCACTTAATACTCTCTGGACCCCTTCTCGTTCCTCTGTCCTTGGACTGCGGACTCTGAAAAGAACCTTGGGGCATCAATTATGCATCACATTTTCTCCCTTGAATTTCGCCCTCAAGGCACAACTTACTCAGCTCAGTGAGGATAGGGATTCTTCGGTATTTTGATGTCTCAGGATGTCCACCCAGGAACTGTGAAACATCCTCTGTAATACAGACGAGGACAACAAAGAAAACAGATGATGAGCTCCAATGGAGGGGTTGCAAATCTTGACAGGGATGTAGAGAAACACCCTATAACTTGGCACTCCACCTCAGCAAAGTTATTCTACTGTCTAGATTGCAAATATTTTTCGCTATTAAAAAATAGATATTATTTGGACATTCTTGATGGGTCCTTTTGAGAAGTGGTATGTATACTTGTGAATGTTTGAGTATGAATGTGTTTTTGAAATAGCACTTCC